AAATTCAGGCCGACACTTGACTCTCGTCTTGGAATTTCAAGCAAGTCATACAAAGTCGCAAATGTGTTACGTGAAAGCGTCATTATTATTGGACGTAGTTTGTTTACACAGTCACGCAGCACGTCAAAATATCTTCTTTTTTTCGGTTGACCCAAATAAAATTATCTGCTGGATTGTTTCAGCACAGTCGTTTCAGTAATGTTCGAAACATTGTCCTGCAGAGTTGTTTGTTTAAAAGTCAAGTAGATTATTAATGTTAACGGGGTAAAAAATTAATTAATGCCGACTTGCAAATTGTATCATATTCGGCATTTCCAGTAAGTCGATACAAAGTCGCCAATGTGTAGCGTGAAAGCGTCATTTTTATTGGACATGGTTTTGTTTACACAGTCACGCAGCACGTCAAAATATCTTTTATTTTTTGGTTGACCCAAATAAAATCACCAGCTGGATTGTTTCGACACAGTCGTCCCAGTTATGTTCTAAACTTCCTCTTGCAACGTTGTTCATTTAAAAGTCGGGTGGATTTTTTGTTTTGTTTTGTTTTAACTGTGGGTAAAAAAACATGACCGTGAAGTGAAGACTGCGCTCTCATAGCGGTTTCAGTAGCAGTGCGTGGTTACGGTAAAGTGGCAGACGAGACGACGTGAGGTGTGAATCCTGGGCCTATCATTTCGACATTGTACGTCAGACCGAGTACTGACTGATGTACATCCTTTAATTTCAAAAGAATATGTGATAATGTTGTGGCTGGTCAGTATCGTGCTATAAAAGTGGCGATTTCTCTGAGGAAAGACACTCACTTTTAGTTTTCCCACAAGCTATTAGTACTTATTTTGTCGCTCACTAGCCATGTCTCGAATCGATTCATTTTTTACTAAGGCAACTGCCGAGGTCCCAGCTGTACCTGCTTCTATGTACCGAACAACACCACCCGCCCCGCCCCGCCCGCATCCTCCAAAAAGAGATACCGTAACAAAATATCAGTGTCGTCTCGTATTATGTTTTTCAGTGTTATTTATTGTAGTTTATTTAAAATATATTATTGTATTGTATGTATAGTTTAATTGTAGATAATTTCAAAAATTTTTTACAGCAATTAGCAATAAAGCATAATTCTATTCTACTCTATTCTATTCTATTCCAGTGAGTTTTTCACGTTACCATGTTTGTTTACATTTACGGGAGCGTGACATAAAACTGTCGTCTCCACGGCAACAAAACAGCAGGTGGCCTGGTTGCGTCAGATTTCTTGAACGCGCTTGTAGTTTGTTTTAAAATTGGGTCAAGTCTCAGACTAGTACTACACCTTTACTCTAATCTCGGGAAAACGATATATTTATTCAGTTACCGGTGATACACACTTCGAACCTAGTTTTAAAATCGACCACTTCGGAAACATATTTTCTATATTTATTCAATCAATTGGCCCACCTCCAAAAATATTTATTTTTACATGGCCGAATTGATTGAGTTTTTACGGTAACAAAATCATTCACAAGACAGCATTTCACGCTTTCCCCTAACTATGTTTACAGTAATGAAGTGGCTATCATAACATTGCAAGGTTCAATGAGAAATATTATAAATATTTTTGAATCATCATAGTCCCCATCATACTGTTATCCAGCTAGCATTGAGACTTATGAACATTCAAACACATTTTTTATGATTTATGACAGTTTCCAGCCAACAAGACTACTTACTATGACTTTGGAAGCCACTAATACCACCTCAGCTGTAAGAAAACCAGCTTTACCAATACTAAGCAGTGGCTTTGTAAGTCCATTCAGCACTGTCATTGGGTATTTGCCGCTCTGGATTAGTGGAGAGATAATTTCAGCTAAGTACGTCCAGAATTTAGGAATATCAATAGCCATATCTTCGGCAAATTCAAGGATTTCGCCCAATCTTGAAAAAACAAAAGATGAAGATTAGTATGTGCAATGTTTAGGACATCATTGTGCACATTCCGGACATTAAAAGTCACTATTGATATTCCGGTCATGTTTTTGTTGTGTACTTCAAACTGAATCCTGGCACTGTACGAGTACAACTCTAAATCTATTACACGAATTGATGGTTATGCATTTATTACCATGCTGATCGACCACATTTAGAACAAGTCATTGTTAATGTTACGAACCAAAAGCATAGTTAGTAATTTAGAGTAAATAATTGGCTGATTTAGTATCAACAGAAATTAGGTGTATTAAATTACAAATTGAAATACATGGTCAGAAATATGCTGCTATTCATGCATTTTTGTATTCAAATTGAATATTTGTGAGCTCATGTACAGCGATATAGTTGTATGGTCAAAAAGCAAGATTACAGGCAGTCAACCATCTTTGATCCGATTGTGGAACTAACTGTCATTTTATCATAACATGATGTTTTGAACTTCGAACAGGGACCAACAAAAAGCCGTCAAATACAGCAGATCACCCGGTATCTTTATTGCAGGAACTAGTTGAATATCTGCAATAGTGCTCCAGATATATTTATACCTTTATAATGAGATCACATGACACATATGGTCATTTATTATGTTGCCAGATCTAGACCACAATGTATTTAATATAACACTGAATGTCTATCTGTAAAAATGCTCCTGATATGACTCTGTAGGAATAGATGCTGGGAACACTACATCCCCTAACCACACAATATGCCCCGGGAAATAATCATATAAACTTAAATGCATCAATATGATGCAAGTACTTACCCTTTTTCGTACTGCTCCATCGTCATAGATCCCTTTTGAAGAATGTCATAAAAGAGTTCACCAGTAACTTTCCTGGCACCTTCACTCCTATCTAGAGACTGTTCGATACCAACTCGTACAAGCACGTACATCATGTTTGGCGAGTTCAATTCTTCAACACAAGTTAATGCCTCCTGTTGACAAAATTCCCAAAAATATAAAAATGATCATTATGATACTAAAATGTGTTTGTTTTAGGAGTAGCAGGATCATGATTGACACAAACATGTTAGCTTAAAAAATAGATACAATTTGTTTTCCTTGCAAGATTCTATAATGTATGTAAACATGTGTACCTCATACTGTGCATTCAAATTTTGCACGCGGCAAAGCTTTGTCTGGAATCATAAGGCTGTGCAAAATAGATAACAGAAATATTTCTTTATTATCTCACAACTAACCTTAGAGTCCTTGAGATGCATATATTCTTCTAAAATAGCTTTGGTCTTTTTCTCCATCTGTTCTTCTGTAAGAGCAGATTTGTTATCCTGCACAGGGGGCACTGTTCTTGGCATAGAGACGACAGGCTTAGGTTCAGGTGTCCGCACTGAAAATTTGTTGAGAAACAATACTGATCACCAGTTCATCTCAAATTTCACAAACAGATTTTCTAACGTTCAACACCTTGCCTTGCAAAATTGGAACAAAATTTGTCAAATCATACTACATCTAAAATGAACTAATACACTACTCACTTCGTTCCCTTTCTTCATCTCTTCTTCTCTCCACTGATGTGGAGTGCAAATTTTTAGCAGCTGCAATGGCTTGCTCCCTTCCACGATTTCTTTCATCTCGTGCACTTTCTCTTGATGATGATCTTCGTGGACCACCCAACTGTCGCACCTTGTTGTCCCGTCCTCTACCCAGCTCCCTAAAATGATAATAATGCCTGTCAATGAGTTTACAGTTGTGCAAGCAGTATGTACCTGCTGTCAATATTTGATTATAACGAAGGTGTCTTCACATGCATGAGAATTCATTCCTAATAGACACGCTTAAAAATGCTAATTTGTAACGACATTGACCCACAACATTTAACTTGCAACTCTAGCAAATAACATTCGAAACATTTTCTACTTAAAGTAAATACAGGGTAGGTGTGCAATGTACTTGCCTACTATTTCGCCTTGCATAATCATAAGGCTGTGACTCTCCTGATGCCAAAGCAGAGTATCTATTACCAGGGGTAGATGGTCTACTGCTTTCTTGGGTATCTGTCTGTGGTTTACCAGAGCCACCGCTACTACCACGACCCCAGCCACCAAATACTCCAGGACGACCACCAGGTCCCAATTGAATGTTTTCATCAACTGTTGGCTGGATTAAGCATTTCAATTAGAAATGTCGGAGAACAATTGGACTGATTTCTGAGACAGAATTTGAAATCTTGAGAAAAACTTTTGAACTATGTATGGTTTAAACAATTCTCAATTCAAAATAGAGCAATTCACATATTGTTTTTATTAGTTTTAGTTAATGGACCTCTCTCTCTTTTTACTCAGCAAGATGTGATGATTTTGTAGTTCTCTCTAAACATGCATCATGTTGGTAAATTCTCCTTACCTTGGTAACTCTGAATTTATTTGGATCGAAAACAGGCCTTTTGTTTGTTTGTACCATATTCCAGCCATCATCCGATTGACCCTGACCTCTGTCAGGTGGTCCTCCTCTTCCACCTCGACTGCGATTCTTGGGCAATGGTTCTTTTGAAAGCATCATCTGTTTATGCTGTTCTTCAAGTTTGGCTTCTTTGTGAATTTGTTCAATTGTCTTCGGATTATTATCCTCTCTCCTGGGTACCCAGTTATTCTTGAAAATAAGACAACGTGACGCTAGTTGTACATTAGTGAACATTTTCTATATTGAGTGCTTTGTATCGTAAACCACAACGCCTGCACAATGGTATAATACACAAGTACAGCAAGGAACATCCATATACAACAATTCATTAACACAAGAGTACAATGTTTCTAAAAACACAAATTATAGTCTTACTTGTCTAAGTTCAAGTGTATCTTTTAACATGAACCTTGTTCGTATTGAAGTCTTCTTGCTTCTGATAATCTTATCCATTTGTGCAAAATACTGATCAACTCGTGGCTAGAGAAAAACAAAATGATTGACAATTGATGCAAACAGAAAGGAAAAGACGAGATATTGGTGTCACTGTAAAAAAATCGTTATTGATCATAAACAATTAAGCCGCAAGTCGCCCTTCATGACTGTTGTGACAAATCTTGATTGGTGAAATAAATGGCCTGCTTTTTAAGTGATAGTTGTTTCTAAGCACACCTTCAAATTTTCAGTGAACAAATAATTGTAAATAAAAGACACTTATCATACAGAGACTTCAGTATTTGTAATTATTTTATTATTATTATAGGATGGGTGATTTTATACAATTTGGAATGTTCAATAAGGCAAATAGTTCTTTTTTTTACCCCTACCTCAATCCCACAATTCAAATGTATATGCCTCCTAACTGTATACTAGTAGGAGGGAGTCTTTAGGAGGGGCATATATAATCAATGCGAGTGCTGCAATAGGAGTTTGGGACACAAAAAGAACTGTTTATGATAAGCACTTCTAGTTGCTTCTTCCCCTTGTTTATTCCCATACTTGTGTCTAGTTATATACATGTAATTTGGGAACAAATAAATGTGAAGAGAGCCTCTATGTTCAGTTGGCCTGCAAACTGGATATAGGGAGCACTACATCGAGTTATGAGCTTTTATTTTTCAATCTATTACCTGAGGCTTTTGTAATCATAGTTTTAACTAGGAATATTTTTACAATAAGCTCCTAAGAAAGGCGATGTAATGGTGAGCATTCAATTCCTGCACATTAACCCATTGACTGACCTTGGCCTTCTCATGGTCCAAGTCTTTACCAATTGTACTGAGCAGTCTACATAGACATTCCAGTGACTCTTCCTCGTGTGATTTCAGTAGTTTCACAACACAATCATGCATGATTGGCTCAGTGAGCATTTTCAGTTTGAACAACTCTCCAATAAACCGAATATTTCCAAGCGTTCTCCTCCTTAGCTTGGTTTCTAATTCATTGTACTCTTCTTGTTTTTTTTTCGTTTCCTCGGCCTACAAAGATAAAATAAATATGGTTATTTGTGATAGCGATGTCTTCTTCCCACAATGTTTTAGCAAGGTGACAAAAAAAAAAATACAGTTGAAAAGTGGATAAATTAAAAATTACAGTATTGTCCTACACTATTACCAATCAACTGTTGAATACTGGACACAAGACGTTGCTCCACAAATGCTAGAGGGCACTGCATCCATATTTTTCACCTATCACAGAATTTTGAAAACCTGTTTGATTCAGAGGAAATTGTGATTCCTGTGGGCCAACAAAAATGCACATTGTGAAAATAATCAGCCATAATACAGTGTATTATCTTTTAGCCAGTAGAAAATGAAATTTTCAAAGTTTGTTGATCAGTACTTTTGTTCATTGCCAATTCAATATATGCCTGACCCACCCCACAACACAATGAGATGTCTGTCTCGCCCATCCAAGAACACAAGCTAGATGTCAGCCAGGTGCCAAGTACACCAATACCCTAATGAATTATGTCATTTAACACATGATTAGGAAACTTACCGTCTCGGCATCCTCAACAGCTTTCTTCATACGAAGAAGAACATCGTCCTTATCTTTGTCCTTTTCAAATTCTTTTTGACATCGATTGAGGAGGAGTTTTCTGAAATTGACAACGCCTTTTCCGTCATCAGTTGGGACCTTCATCTGTAGAAGTTACCAATAAAATTTATTTATTAGCACAAAAAACTTTTACACCATCAAATTTTCATAAAGCAGTGTCAATTACCAAAAAAAAACGATGCATTTTATCCAATCCAGTTTTTGAAAGCGACATTTTACAACAAGGTTCAACAGCAATTTATTTCATGTATGTAAAACCACAAGCCATAAAAGTGTGCATTAGTAATAAACTGTGGCTACTAAAAATCAGAACTTCTTCTGACCTAGCACATCTCTCAAAAAATTACACCACAAATAGTAATAAGTTCTAAAACACATTTTTTTAATTTGAATATCTACCGTATTACCCCGGGCATCCGCCCCTCCCTGGGCAAGCGCCCACCCCCTGTTTTCACAAAAGTTACATGTTGGGGACATCCTCGGTTAAACGCCCAGGGTGATTTTTAGCCAAGAACGGGGTCAACAATAAAGTTTTATTTGTCAAAAACGATCGCGTTCGATTTATATAATAGTGTGTTTGTTACGGTAGTTCTCTTTTTGGAGTGTGTGGTGGCCCTGAAAAGGGCCGCTTTGTTTGTGTTTTTACGTAAAAACTCATTGGAACTTAACGATGCAAGATGAACCACGCAGCATGTGGTGCACACGTTCTGCTTTCTCTTCATTCACGATGAATCCAATATTGCAACGATCCATACCTTGGTGAGTGGTTTGAAGCACTTAGCCTTGGTTTCAAAACGTAGTATTTCGCTGACTGTGAATCCATAACTGGAGCTACAGTACAGTTCTCGCGGAAGCTTTGGCTTCACTTCAGCTTCACCTTCGCTTCAGCATCGCATCATTATGGCATTGTTATGGCTTCAGCATCGCATCAATGTCGCGACATTAAAAAGTTAGGCGGTTTTCGCTTCGCTTCATTGTGGCCTCATTATGGCGACAATGTGGCATCAGCATCGCTTCATCAAACAAAGAAGTACAGAACTACTCTCGCCCGCTTCCGCTTTTCAATCGCGCACCTTTGCGACTGCTTGTTGAAGTTCCGCTTTATTTTCGATTGTGCAAAACTTCGGACTACTAAAAATTTTCTGGTTTTCATAGATCACGGTTACTAGTTTAGTAACCGTGCATAGATGTTGAACAACTGTCAAAAGTTCAAATACTTTTTTGTTTTAACTATCTATAATTATATGCACGCAATCTGACCCTTTGACCTAGATTTGGCTGGGATTGACTATTTTATTTTAAACAATATTCTGACGTGA